TGGGACAAGGGACTCTAAAAACACCTTTTCCTGTCCCAAGCCCTTCCTTTCCTGCCTAAGCCCCATAAAAGTCCAGTCCAGTCAGTTTCCATGCGGTTTCTCCTCAGACCCTTGTCTAGTCCACTCTGTCAGTCTGATTGAGTTCCGCCCGGGAGTGATATCTCAAATAAAGCCTCATTGGGTGGCCTTTTTAAATCTGCCTCCTTTGGTTGCTGCTGGCCTCTACTGATCTTACAGAGAAGACCCTCATGTAATTCATAGATGGCTTCTCACAGCACAACAGTGTCTTTTGCTTTAGAAAGTTCACTCTGGCCTGGTGCAACAGTATCCTTTGCTTTAGAAAGTTCACTCTGGGTGGGAGCAGTGGACCATACCTGTAATCCCAACAGCTCTGGAGGCTGAGACAGAAGGATGGGGAGTTGTTCAAAGCCAGCCTTAGCAACGGCAAGGTGCTAAGCGACTCAGTGAGATCTTGTCTCTAAATAAAATACAAAATAGGGCTGGGAATGTGGCTCAGTGTGAAAGGAAAGTGACCACAACACTTGGAGTGACCAAGAGATCTTTATTGTGGCGGTGTCTGATTAACAGGGAAGGAAGAGAAAAAGCGAGAGAGGGAGAGAACAGGGAAAGAGAGATTGCACAGGAGTGGAAGAGAAGATGGGGAGCGAGCCTGCAGGAGACAGTTTTTATAGCCAAAATCTAATGGGGGTCTCTGGGTCTGCAGGCTACCTTGATGGTGTACAGTGATTGGATCATACAGTAGTTGCTAAGGGTGTCATCTTCTGCCCTCAGGCAGATTGGGCACGGGCCAGGTGTGGGGGCTGAGTGTTCAGCCTTGAGTGGGGTTGAGTGATCAGACTTGAGGCAAACAAGTGATAAGGAACCAGACAGAGGGGGGTCGAGTATTCAGCCCACCCTACAGCTAACATCTGTTCAGCCTGCTCCACAACTAACACAGTGGCCGAGTGCCCCTGAGTACAATTCCCAGTACCAAAAAAAAAAAAAAAAGAAAGAAAGTTAACTCTGACCATATTGCATACAGTGAAATATGAAGGGAAGCAAGACAAAAGACAACCAGCAGAGGCTGCAGTGGTAGTAGTGAAGATGAAGAAATGCATCCAGGAATTGGAATATTTAGAAGAAGGAATTAGTAGGACAAATATGGAAGTAAAAGAGAGGGGTTAAGGGAGCTTCCCAGGTGTTAATCTCGGGCATTTGTGTGGATGGTGGAACCATTGCCAAAGCTGGACACAGTGGAGGAGCAGATGATTATGGGTAGCAGAACATTCTAGACACATTCAGCTTGAGATGTCTATAAAAGTAGCTACGTAGCTGGTTTAAACATCCAGGGTCTGAGTCCCCATAGTACCTTTTGCTCTTCACAGCAGTACCTGGTACACAGCTTGCACTTATTGTTAAGGGAAGAAGGAAAAAATCCAAGTGGAGTATTAAGTTAGAAGAGAGCATAAAAAGTCCTGGAATCCAGCATTGATGAGCCAGGTAATAACAACCACAACAAATCCTTACTGAGTATTGCATGCCAATTTCCAACTTAGTTGAAAATATACTTCCTTCCATATATATAATCCCTCCCTGGGAGAACTGATTTAAGTTGTGAGGAACTGGTGACTACTGTTCTTATTCATATTAGTAACAGATACTGAGTGGTTAGTGTGTAAGCACTGTTCTAAGTATTTTCATCAATTCCCACAAACCCATAAGCATGGTAACACTAATAATAATAAGCAACTACAGAGACAGAGAGGGTGCAGACACAGAAGAGTGGATAATTAAAAGAATGGGGGAAGGGGAATGATGCTAGCCTTGAACAGAGGGCATCTCTTTCACTATCAGGAGAAAAGAACAGAAGCAGAGAGAACACGGGTATATTAAAGCAAAATATATTATGGAATTTGTTTTCTGAATATCTAAAAACTTAAAATATGCTAGCAAGGTATTTTGTTATTTGTTGTTAAAAGTGTTATAGGAATTAAAGAGAGGAAGGGAGTAGTTCTGTCTTAAGTTCAGCAGGCAGAGGTAGGAGGAAGTTGGGTAGGTTTAACATATTTTTTTCTTTTGGTACCAGGAGGTGCTTAGCCATGGAGCACATCCCCAGCCCCCCTCCCTTTTAAATGTTTATTTCCTTACCTTTATTTTATTTATTTTTATGTGGTACAAGGATCGAACCCAGGGCCCCGCGCAGACTAGGTGAGTGCTCCACCGCTGAGCCACAACCCCAGCCCCACATCCCCAGCTCTTTTCAAACATTTTTTTTTTAAAGTTCTCTCTAAATTGCTTGAGGCCTCAATAAATTGCTGAGGCTGGCTTTGAACATGGGAGCCTCTTGCCTTAGCCTGAACCTCCAGCTGCTGGGATTACAGGAATGTGCCTCTGTGCCTGTTTTCAGCTTAACATTTTTTTTTCAACTTTTTAAATTTGTTTAAATTAGTTACACATAAAAGTAGAATGTACTTTGATACATCATATATAATGGCGTATAATTTCTCATTCTTCTGGTTATGCATGATGTAGAATCCCACCGGTGGTATAGTTATATAAGTACATAGGGTAAGCTTAACATTTCTTGAACACACACAAAGTACCAGGTTTATCTGAGGCTTTCAGGATCTCCATATGAGAAATAAATGGAGATTGCTGTACCCATTCTTCATTCTTCTGTCCCAGGAATTTCATTTCCCTTTGAAGATTCCATGCCTACTTGTTGTCATATTGATGAGACATATGATCAGGGTGCTCTGGCCAGAGAGAGAACATGAGGCTTAAAGTTCTCTACTAGGAAGTTATTTCTTTAGACGAGTAACACAAGAAACAAGAATCCGGGTTGTGGGTATAATTCAGTGGTGGAGCACATGCTTAAATATGTACAAGGCTTCAATCTTCAGCACCAAAAACAAACCAAAAAAAAGGAAAGAATAGAGTTGGGCGCAGTGGCACATACCACTGAGGATCGTGAGTTCAAAGCCAGCCTCAGCAAAAATGAGGTGCTAAGCAACTCAGTGAGACCCTGTTTCTAAATAAAATACAAAATAGGGCTGGGGGTGTAGCTCAGTGGTTGAGTGCCGCTGAGTTCAATCCCCAGTCCAAAACAAAACAAAACAAAAAACAGGAATGGGTCACCACCTCAAAATATATGCCCAGGAATTCCTGCTCCATAGATCTCTGGGACTGACCCAGTTCTTTTTAAAATATATTTTGTTTTCTTTTTTTGTTTTTAGTTGTAGTTGGACACTATATATTTATTTTTATTTTATTTATTTTTATGTGGTGCTGAGGATCGAACCCAGGGCTTTGCACATGCTAGGCAAGTGCTCTACCTCTGAGCCACAACCCCTGTGCCTGACCCAGTTCTTGTCCTTATTTTTTAATTTTTTTCAGGTCTTGTCCTTCTGAAAGCTGATGCTTAGGTCCTTCCTTCCATTCCAGGAGCCACCCCACATTTTCCACAAATTCCCAATTTGATAAGGTTAGTCAGAGCCTGTGTCCATGCCTACAACCAAAGGACCCTGATGGCCACATATAGCCACTTAGAGAATATGTGCCAAGAATGGCAGGCAGGTGGGACTGTAGTTGACCCAATTCTTTCCCTGCCCCCTTTCCCGGTTTGTTCACAGTCCTTACCATAGGAATGGGACAATGGCCTGACTCTTTTTAGTCTGACAAATTTGGGAAAATTCACTGTCTCGGTCACCAAGTCTCATTTTTCATTCCCTGCTTTCTTTCTTGTGAGACTGGGAATTGAACCCAGCTCTGTTCTCCTAACTCAACCTGCCAACTTGTTGGGATTACAGGTGTGTGCTACCTTGCCCATCAAGCCTTGTATTTCCTTCAGTGCCATACCTCATACTTAATAATTTATTTATGTTTTTTGGTACTGGAGATAAAATCAGGGGTTCTTTACCACTGAGCTATTATTTATTTTGAGATAGGGTCTCACAAAGTTGCTTAGGGCCTTGCTAAATTGCTGAGGCTGGTCTTGAACTTGTGATCCTCCTGTCTCAGCCCCCTGAGCTGCTGGGATCATAGGCATGTACCACCACACTCAGCCCACTATCATGGACTTACACTACACAGTAATTGCCACAACACAAGTCTAAATCAGTCAGGGTCACTCCAGGTGAATTGGGCTAGAACTAAATAACCACGCAGATAGAGAAAGTACCTTTTTCTTGTGGTTCTGTGTCGGCTCCTCTGTCCCAGCTCCAACAAGTGTGGCAAGAGAGGCAGGCAAAAGAGAGAGCCTGAAGCCCTATTTATTGGGAGGAAAACACTCAAGCAGGTTCCACCCAAATGAGGCTGTAATTGCTGGCTGAGCAAAGCTGAGGTCCACTTGCTTCCGTGCTGCTAACAAGCCAGTTCCACACCTTTGTTGTTCAAGGCTAAGGGTACTTGCTCAGCTCCTACATGTTCAGCTCCTGTTCATGGTGGCCCACAACAAGCAATTACTTATCTAGCTTAGTAGTTATAAACTCTTTGAGGGCACAGTATTAATCAGTCTAGCACAATGCTTTGCACAGTTTGTAGAATAAACCAAATGTTATACATAATACAGAAAATTGAGGGATCTCATGGGTAAAAATCACGTTAAGTCAGGCTTAGTGGCAGACACTTGTAATCCCAGTGACTAGGGAGGCTGAGGCATGAGGACAAGTTAAAGTAAAAAATACAAAGGGCTGGGGATGCAGCTTACTGATAAAATGCCCCTGGATTCAATTCCCAGTATTGTAATAAATAAATAAATAATGAAAGTGGGTCCACCCCTTCAAAAAAAAAAAAAAAAAAAAAGACACAATACTAAGTAACACCTGGGGTATAAAGTCTGAAAGGTAAGGTTACTCAAGGTTAAGTCCAGGACAGTGTTCTCTATGAATTACCTGTGAAAACATCCCGTTCTCCCACCACTGCCAAGCTGCAAAAGAAACACTTGTCTCTGAAGCTCTGTTCTAATCTCTTCCACACAAATGACTCAATCCAGTCCACTGTCACTTTAGATTTCAGGGCAAAGTTTATTAGAAGAAATTAAGTAACTGTAAAATTTCCCTCCACCCCAATTCCAATATTTATGCCTCCACCTCTCAACAGAGGGGCTGTCTCAAATGTGGGTGGAATGAAAAGGTGGCGTGCTCCCCTTGCACAGTTACTCCTTAGCCTTCAGCATGTGCAGTCTTAGCCCTGAGTCCCTCTGACCATGGCAATTGTTCAGAGCAGTGCTACTCTGACAGCATTTTAGGTCAGTTGCCATCTCCTGAGTTCACGATCACCTGTGATCAATATACAAATTATCAGTGGTCAAAGGTAAACGAGAGGCACAGGCTGCAGGGGGATTATCCTCTAATAAAGAAGGTTCTAGAAATGACACCTGGAATGCTCAACCTGTTAAAGTGCTCACCTACGTTCACTCTGAAGGGATTTTGGAAGGGTTCAATAAAAAAGTACATAGGAGCTGGGGGTGTAGCTCAGTGGTAGAGCACTGCTCTAGTGTGAAAGGACCTAGGTTTCATCCCCTGTACTGGGAGGTAGGGGGTGAGGGAGGGGAGAACTTTTTTTTTTTTTTAAAACATAAAAAGAACTCTGTTCACATCATTCCAGCAATGACAAGGGAAAGGAAAACTTAGAGCTTAGTTACTGAATTACTAGCATTCCAAATTAAACATATCCCTTGTTGGAGACCAGCTCCTTTAACTTCTTGTGGAAACTTAAAAAAAAAAAAAAAAATTTATCATCATTTCATTTTGCTCTAACTCTTCTTTCACTAAATAGCCTTCTAATCTGAAATCTAGTTTCCTCAATGGTATCAACACTACAAAAAGAAAGTCCAAGATGGCCAAGTGATCAATTTAAGTATGGCCTATAAAACACTTTTCTATAGAGTGATTAGTAAAAATCTGAGGTGAGAAATCTGAGCTTCCCAACCTGCCAGTTTGAGGTCTATACTCAAGAATAAGGGGTCCATAATATATCTAATCTCTTGACATGATTACAAGATCCAAGACTAGGGTAGGGAAGGGTAAGTAAGCATCAGCAGCAGTGGCTATCTTGTTCTACAATTTAGTGCATGGCCTCAGCAATCACTTGTAAGTCCAGTGGGCAGTGGCCCAGCCCTGACCCTTGCACAAGTCTCGGTGGCGAAGGAAACAGGCATGGACACGGAACCGACGGCCACAATGAGGACAGGCATGCAGGGCTCCAGCATGGGTCTTCATGTGCTCGGTCAGATGGTGCTTCAACTTGAAGCGCTTGTTGCAGATGCCACAGCCAAAAGGCCGAAGGCTGAAGGTCAGCATGATGTGCCTGTCACGCTTTGGCTTGACTGCAAAGCGCTTCCCACACAAGCAACCAAAGCGTTTTCCATCTGCAGGGGGTGCTCCCCCTAGCTTCACAGGCCCATGTACAGCCTGCCCTGCTCCCCCAGGTCCTCCACCCCCTGACAAGATTTCATTTCCATGAAGATCCACTGGCTTCCAGGATGGACTCCCTCCCCCAGATGTTGCCCCTGCTCCTGAGGGCAATAAGAATCTCAGCTCCCCATTCCCTTCAGTGTCTCCCCCAGGAAACACTTTGGTTTCCTCCTTTGCTCCTCCAGACTGAGTTCCACTTCCTGATATCTCTTCCTTAGGCTCAAAGGGTTCCTGCTTGATATAGAAAATTTTGGGGGGTAATGCGGTAGGTGGGGCAGGAGGTTCAAGTGATGCACTCTCACTCTCTGGAAGCCTGCGGGGAGCAGCAGATATGGGTACTGGGTGGGATCCACGAGCCCGGGGAAAACCTCCTGACACTCTCTGTGGTTGAGGAGTTTGAGAGAGTGTAGCTGCTGATCCCTGATCTTCCTCTTCCTCCTCCTCCTCTTCTTCCTCCTCCTCCTCCTCCTCCTCCTCTACCTGAATTTGTAACACCTCTCCTAGTTCACTCTCCTCCCCTCCCACCGGGCTTTCAGTGGATGCAGGACTCTCAGTAGAAGCAGAGGACTGCACTGGGGTCTGAAAAGGGGAAGAGCGAATACACCAGCCTCCAGATGAGGACGTGGTGGAAAGAAGTGCATGGTAGGAGGTTGCTCCACGAGCTGAAATTCCACCACCTGAACTTTCTAGTTCTCTAAGAATCTCTGAACACTGATCTACTACTTGCCACATCTGAAGGCCACTGGCTACCAGGAGATGGGCAGGGAGAGCATCCAGGGGAAGGCGAAGGCGCCCTGAATAAATGAGCTGAAGTAGCCCTTCAAAGGCATCAGCTTCAATGACACTTGGCAAGGTGAGACGAGGTGCATCCCCAAGAAGCAGCTTGTCATGGAAGTAGGGAGAAGCAGCAGCCAACACTGCTTTATGAGCTCTAAGTTCCCGGCCCTGCACCAGAAGCGACACATCACAGAACTTTCCCTCTAGCCTATGGCGGTTCAGGGATTCCAGCAAAGACGAGCTATGTTGAGGGAACTCGATCTGGATTGTCCGAGGGGCTGGATTGCAGATCGGGGAGGTGGGTGCAGGAGGTAAAGGTGTCGAGGTATCCATGGGCTCCTCGGAAAAATCCCAGAGGATCGGGAAGAAATGGGAATTTGGGGGTAGACAAAAGCTGTGGAAAAAAGAAACAGGAGTCACAGAAACCCTGGACAAAGTTCCCCTTGTCTTCTCAAACAACTGCCCCCAACTAACAATTGGAAATTTCAGTAAGTGACACTTTCTGCAGATCAGTCCCACTCACCCTGGGGAAAAAACAAAACAAAACAACAAAACACCAACCGGGGGTTTAACTTCCAGGCCCCGAGGGAGATACGGAGGTAATCCTTCAGCGAAGCCTGACCTCGCCAGCCGCGGGCGGCTCCTGCCCCGCCGCTCCGATCCGTTTCAGGGTGCACACAGAAGCAGGCTCGCGGCAAGCCTCGGACACCACGAATCTGGACCCGGTAGCCTTCCCCTCCGACACGCCCCCACCGTTACACAACCGGATCAGACTTCTCCGGACCCTTTCAGCTACCGCGTCGTTCCGGGCCGGAAGCCACGGCCTCTCCGTCGGTCACCGCCGCCGCGTGCGCAGGGCGGAGCTAGGACTGAAGCCAATAGGAGAGCGGCGTCCTACAAACCTCGTGATGATTGGTTATGCTGGCGAGAAAGGCGGGGCTGGTAGGAGGCCGCTGATCCCCAGACGTCAGCGGTTGGCTTTGTCCGGTGCTGCAGAGTCCCGGCAGCCGCGGAGGCTACGGAGCTGGGTCTCAGTAGAGCGCAGCCCTTCGGTCGCCCGGGAAAGCTACGTTTCCTGGTAATTAAAAGAGTAGCGCCCGCCCCAGCAGGTGCGGAGAGGGGCAAAATTAATTGGGTACCTATTGTGTGGGATGGGCACTTACCCCCATTATTTCGTGTTCTACCACCAACCATGAGAGGTAGGTGTTCCCGTCCTGTTTCCATGCGGGGAATCGGAGGCTGGCAAGAATCATTGGGCTGGCAAATAGAGGGCGTGGATCCCAGATTTACTAAGGACCAGTTTGGTTTTATTTTTCACTACTCGCACGTAAGAATTTTAACCAACAATTTAAATAAGCCTTATTTATAGGTAATTTCTTTTAAAGAATAAACGTAGATTTATACTGGAACTCTCATCAAATACCATCCCTGCTCCTTAGAGCTATGTGAAGCAGTGGGTGAGAGGAGAGCTGAACCCCTGCTCTAAAACAGAATAAATCTCGCTGAATGGGAGGGTGATCGTAGACAATGAGATCATAGCATCAAGGCAGAGATATACGGCTTGGTTCCAGGGCACGTGGAAGGTTCCAGGTTTAATACACAGCACTGCAATTAAAAAGCAGTTCTCATCACCTGCTGGTCAATCTGGAGATCCCAGGCTAATAAAGTCAGTGCAGCGATAAAAGAACAATCTCCGTTTATTAAACATGATTTTTCTGTTTCACCACACACTCCAGAAAAAAAGGAAATGGGGCTGGGAGTGGAGAAAAGGGGACAGTGGTGGGGGATAGAGAAGGCTGGGACTGGGGCGGGGAGAACGAGAAAACAAAATAAAACGGGTAGGAAGAGCATCTCCCTACCCTGAAGGGGGTGGGGGGGAGGGAAGGGGAGGGTCGGGGGGGAGGGGGCCAGGAAGCTCTGTACAGAGGGGGGTCGCCCCCAGCCCACACACACACACCCCGATATGTACAGTACAAACCCCAGATAATTACAACAGCCAAAGAAGAGAGGAAAGGGTCCAGGGGTAGGGCCTGAAGTGGGGAAAGCAGAGGAAAGGGCACAGGGATAAAATTTCACATATTTACAACTTTTATATAAGTATAAATTTGGCCCCGGCTGGGTGTATGTGTGTAGAGGGATGGGACTGAAGGGGAACTGTCCATACAAAAGAAAGAAGGGTGGAATCTGGGAAGAATCTCAATACCAAACGCAAGAAGGGATGAGGGGGCAAGGCTGAGTAGGGGACAGCAGTCAGGGAGGAGGGGGTGCCAGGGAGGGACTTCTCTCCTCCCACGGCCTACCCACCCCAAACCCCATCCATCCTTCCTCCCCTATCCCGCCAGAGAGCTATGTACAGAGAAACACCGAAAAATTGTGGAGCTGGCGGGAGGGAGGGAGGTGAAAGGAGATTGGGGGGGGGGAGGATGAGAGGGAAGCCCAGCCCTGTCCTACCTCCCCAGGGGGACAGAGTCATGGAAGGGGGCCCCCAACACCCCTCCTCCAACACAGGTCCCCCCACCCTGGGGGAGAGAGACATGGCTTTTCCTAGAGTAAGTTCCCCCCTCCCCCTGGGAGTAGAGACCAAGAGAGAGGGGAGGGGCAGGGGACTGTGTGTGTCAGGGTAGGGCAGATAATCAGTCTGTCCTCCCTGACATACACACTCTCCTAACCCTAACCCCTCACCCTAACCTCAATTCCATCCCACCCCAACACACTGGGGGAGGGGGGGGCATAAGCCCCCTCACCCCGCTCTGGGACCAGCCGAGAGCAGATCAGGTGTGGGAAGAAGGGGAGACAGCTCCCATTCCCCCCTTGCCGCCCCCTCCCTGCCCCGGCGGCCCCCTCCACCCCATCTGGGTTCTGGGTGGGGAGGGAATAAATTTAAGAGTGGTAAGAGGAGTAGGAGTTTGTGCGTGCTGAGCCCCCCCAGACGCTCCTGAGAAATCAAGGGGTAATAGGGCCCCCTCACCCGGGGTCCCCTCCCCATTACAAGGGGGGCAGGGGAGGCCAAAAATGGGGCGGTGGAGAGGAGTTAGATTGTCAGCTCTGGTTACTGCTAAAAAATCACCCTGAAGTTGAAAGTTTGGAGGTGCCACACCCCCAGGGTGGGGGGTGAGGGTCTGTCCCCCAGTGCTCAGGGGAACGATGAGGCAGAGGATGGGGATAGCACCCCGGAGTGAAGGGGGTCTGTGTAGGTTAGGAGGTGTCCTGGGGCAAGGGTCCCTGGGGGTCAGAGAGGGGGCAGCACCCCGACAGGAAGGAAGAGAGGGCGGCTGAGGGTTCCCGCTCTCCCTCCTAGAAATGGTGCAATGGGGGTGGGGGATTGGTGACCCCCAAGGAGGCATTCAGGGAGGCAATCCCACTGTCCCTCGGTGACGTCCAGTCCTGGTGGTTGGTGCTGTTCCGGGGTGGAGTGCACGGGGAAGGAGAAGAAGGTCTATGATGCTGGGTGGGCTAGTGGTCTGCGGTGTTTCGGAACTCGCCGTTCTCCGTGATCTGCAGCCGGGGTGGGGGGGGCGGGGCTGGGGGGGCCAGGCCGTTCCAAGGTGGGGCCAGCGTCACACGCGGGTTTGTTGGACCCAAGGGGGGAAGCTGCCTCTCCTGCAAGATACCAAAGAGGAGAGCGCGGACTTATTGAGACGCTTCGCAGGGGCCTGGATGCCAGACCCCTATCAGTGACCTCCCCACTAGCCAACCCACTCCATAAGCCATATCCACCCACTCCTCCCAGGACAATCCCCACCAGCCTCCTGTTTTGTTTCTCACCTGTAGGATCCTCTGGGATCAGGTAGAGACTCATTTCCCAGACTCCTAACAGGGGCCTTCAAACCTTCAACCCAGAGTGTCGCACCAGGAAACCAGCTCAAAAGCAGCAAGCTCCCACCTCACCCCCAACCTAACCCCACTAGCTTCACCTATATATTTCCCCTCCTAGCCCACCCTCCACCTCTTGGAACACCCTCCCAGCCCACCCCCCAATCTCAGGTAGGAACTTTGTATTGAGGAACCAAGGGAGGCAGTACAGCAAAACCTCATTAATCCAAACCCCTGTGGATTTGGAATTTTTTTCATAATTTGAACAAAAACTGGGCTTGAGTTTTCCTTTATCTATGCAGAAAGGGTGGGCTAAGCAAATTAGTGGTGGAAAGTGTCTGTGGGAGGGGGTATTTAACCTATACCAGCAAACAGACTTTTCATTCCTATCTATTCATTAGGGCATGCTCCCTGAGGGCCTTATTCACCGAGTTCTACTTACTGTATATATTTTGAAGACATGCATTTCATTAAATAGACACTGTCATTCAGATTTGTCACTTATTCAGAGTGGCCATCTTCTCAAATATAACATCCCAAATTAGAGAGGTTTAACTGTACTGGGGGGAAAGGAAGGGGATTCAGGGAAGTGATGTGGGAAGGGAAAATCTTGTGGGAGGGCTGCCTCTCTCACACACTTGGCGGAAATGACTAGGAGCTTCTGCTGAGACACAGCGTGCCCCAATCTCTGCATCCCCAGGAAGCAGTAACTGGCTCCATTCCTTTCCACCCCCACTTTCCTTACAGTTCTTCTCCCTGGGATGCCAGTTAGAGGGTGAGGGGTGCCTGACCCTACTCCCACCCAGGATCTGTTCTCATCACCTCCTATTGCTCCTGGACCAACTCCTGGTTCCTGCCCTCAGCCCGACCTTCTGTTCCTCTGCTGGGAGAGAAGAGAAAAGCCACCTGAATTCCCCCACACCTCTGGGTCATTCACTTGGCTTTTAAAAATTTGTGCTCAAAACTGGCTTTTAAATTAATGGCTGATTTGCAAAGGGACCAATACCTAAAATGGTTTAGAAAAATTATCCATATTACTTTCTGGGCCATAGGGCATTTAGGCCTGGCAACATAGCTATGTCTGACCAAATCTCCAAAGGATACAAGTACAGTTCCAGATCAGCTTTCCCTTCCATCCCAGGATCCAGGACTCACCTCTCAGGTCACCCAAACCCCAGTCTTAGGCAAAGCTTCCCTCTTAGTTCACTGGTATCTCACATTGCCAGTCAGAGGGGGAGGAAATTGCATGTGGTAGGGTAGCCTGAGTGTGGCGGGAGAGCAGGGAAAGGAATCCTCAAATTTCCTTCCCTCCACTTGTCTGCTGGTGACAGCACATGGGCAAGCCCCTTACACCCCCATGGACCCAAATTTAGAAAGAAGATAAATTAGGGTGCCATTATTCATTTTACAAAAGAATTCACTGCAGGAGTCTTTTAAATGGCAAGGTCCCCTGGTGCCTTTTAGCATCTGTTTACAGATCACTAACTACTTTGACAGAGAGGCTGGGCAGGCAGAGAGTTAAAATTACAGTGTGAGGAGCCACTGCCCACTGCAGATCAATCCCACAAAAATAAAGCATCTCAGAAATGATGTCTGTGGCTGACAGGTTCCCATTTACTGGCTTTTTAGGTAGGATTGGGTGTCCAGTAAGACCACTGGGTGGCAGGAGGGGTGGGGGTAGTGAGTGGCATTAGCAACCCAGGATGTCAGCTCTTACAGGAATAGAGGTTATTTGATATGCTTTTCCTATTAGTTCTGCCTGGGAAAGAACATGGCCACTGAGCCCATGATGTAACTCCCAGGCCACAAGGGCAGTTCATGTCCTAACACTGTCCAAGGTTCCTTGCTCCTTCTTGTTCCACCCACCCTGCCTACTATCAGGATACCTCAACAGACTTTTCCAGGGCCCCTCAAAGTCCCCTTGAATTAACTGCCCACTCCCAATTCCCACCCAGGTGGGGACTAACATGAACCCCAAATGCCTTCTACCTCACAGGTATAAGGGAGAAAGAGTGAGAGGAGAGGAATGGGAAGAAGGAGAGGGTAGAGAACCAGGATTAGGGAAGGAGGAGGAAACCCCAACCTACCTGCTGCAATCGGCACAGCCCCTATAGCCAAGGTCCCCCAACCCAGCATCACCTCCACCCCATTAATAAAGCCCAACCCCCAAGGACGCTCTGGTGAAATGGGGGGTGACAGACATACACTGGAGAGGTAGAGGAAGAGGAGGGTGCCGAGTTAGGAGGAGGATGGGAGAGGTGTGCCTGGAGGGAAGGGGTGTGACTTGTGAATGTGCTGGGTCTATGTAGGGTCAAATTATTGCTAAGGCCTCCAAGGGCAGTTGCAGGGAGGGATCAGCCTGTGGTCTCTGAGTAGTATACCTCGGGAGATGGGTCTGTGGCTGGAGGTGTCAGGAGGTGGAGACTGTGGAGGTTCTCTGGGGGCAGAGGGCAGCAGTGATGGGGGAGAGGCACTGGAGAGTGGAGGGGGTAGGCTTCACGACCAACCTGCAGTGGTCCGGAGTCACCTCCCCCTGTGTCCTCCGCCAGTGGTCAAAGCGGAACCAGGAGAATTACCTGATGAGGAGCTGCAGGGGGAGAGAGTGGGGTGATGGGGTCAGGAGCCTTGGTGGTGGGGGTGGAGAGGCCTGGTGGTCAGAGAGAGGAAGGAGGAATATGGGTAGGAAAGACCAAAATTTTGGGAAAGCAAAGGGTAAGATGTGGAACCTCAGGCTCACCATGACTGAGGTGAGCAAAGAGTGGTGGCAGGGAGCTGGAGGGTCAGTCAGGTATGAGGCCTGAGTGGGAGGAAGGCCAAAGGGAAGCTAGACTTGAAACACTGAGGGATTGGGATGGGGTGGGAAGTTCCAGGGAGGCCTTCAAGGTCTTAAGAGCCAGGTAGAGGCGGCTCTACAGAAGCTGCCAAGGAGTCAGAATGGGGAGCCAGGAGAACAAAGGTATAGTGATCCCAGATCCCAAGTCTCCAGAGCCTGGGGAAACTACCACTCAGACTGCCCTGGGCTCCATTCCAGCAAAGAGCAACTTCTAGCCCTCCTCACCCAAGAAGAGCTCAGAGGAAAGTGAACTCCTGCCTTCAACAGGGCAAACAGGCAGGGCTTCTAGGAACTGGGAGGGGTCTAGAGACAGAAAGGGTGAGGATCTGGGAGAAGGTCCTGAGCCGCAGAAAGGAGTGGGAGGATGGGGCAGGAAGGCACGGGGTGGGGCTGACACTGCCAGGAGTGACAAAGGCACAGACGATGGAATGAAGATGGGTCACTGGGGTGCTGAGTGGAGTGGCAAGTAGACAAACAGAGGACAATGAGAGACAGATGGCGATGGGGCCGGGGTGGCTGGTGCAGTGAGAGCACAAAGGACAGTGGGATGGATGGGGATGGGACACGGAGAAGATAAATGACATTGTAATTTCCACCTGAGCGTCGAGCAGCCTCTTCTTGGGTTCAGGCAGCGGCTCAGCCATGGCGGGGTGGTCCCGGCGCAGCTCCTCCTCCACCAGCATCAGCCTGAAGGGACGGGCTTCAGTGGGGTTAGTGGCGGGCACGGGCTTGGAGCCTGTTCATGGAACTCCTGATCCTGGAAACCCCTGCAGCTCTCTGGAAAAGCCTCATGAATCCTTCTCCCCTTTTTAAAATCCCTCCACTGTCATGACTCAAAAGACTCCCTGTCACTCAGGGTGCTACTCTCTGCCTTCCTCTCAGGGTCCGGACCCTCAGGTATCTCTCTGGTTAGGGTAGCTTTCTATGCCTCAAAGACTTCTACCACCCAGACCACCCTCAGCCCCCTTCCCAACAGAGACAGCAATACCCCTCCTTTAGAACTTTTGAGGCTAAAGATCAGGCTTTTATACCACCTCAGTGAACTTAGGCCACCTCCAGTGGCAGAACTTGGGGTACCTCCCAACCCAGGAGGAGTCCCTGTTACAAGCCTTATCATTCCCAGCATCTTCCTGACTTTGGTGAAGACTCTCAAGATTCTCTCTCATAAATGGTTATCAATTACAACAGTGGTTTCAAAAAAATGTTTCATGTCAAGAAGCCCTTTTATTCCAATGTATTCCAAGTCTTATGCAGAAATACATTTTTAATGGATCAAAATGGAACTGGTCTGGTTGGAATAGGGTTGGGAGTTCTCACCCCTGTTTTTAAGATAACTGGTCCCCTTGCTAAGATACCTCCTTTGGAATCCAGGGCTTGGTGAAGGAGTTAGAAACATGTGCAGGGTAAATGACCCATTCTGATGGCATCCCTTACCAAGGCTAGAAAGGGAGGCTGTGCCCAAGATGGGGATGCTCAGGGGCTCCTCTGGCTAGGGATCCCTGCTCAGCTTTGGGGTGAACTTCACAGACTGCACTGAGAATAATCAACCAAAGTTTTCTGACCCAGGCTCTGTGCAGATACAGTGATGGTTGGACAGTACCTGCCGTATTTTCCAAGGGCTTCAAAAGTTACTCTACCAGAAGAAATGTCAGGGTTTAGCAAAGAAACATTTAATGCCCTAAGCAGGAGATGAGTGGGTTGTCTCCCTGGGAGAGTGTGGCATTCTCTCCTGGTGGTCTCCTGAGATGGGCACAGGGGTCTGAGGACTAGCTCGCTCACTCACTCCCTTCAGCTTCAGGCTCTCCCTTGCTACCCCTCCCCAGGCCGCCCCTCACCTGCCAATGATGCTCTTGATCTGAGAATCCTTCTCCACCTGCTGCTGCCTCAGCCTCTTCTCACTCTGTTCTAGTCGGGCCTGATACTGCATCAAGATTTTGCTGGTCTGTTCTTCCTGGGACAGCAGCCTCCGCTCATACTCTTCCAGCTTCCGGTTGGACATGTGCAGCCGTTCCTTCAGTGAATGGATCTCTTCCTCGTACTCCTTTACCTGCCCGCCGGGCACAAGACCCCGCACTGTGAGAGGTGCCCTGCCCCATTCAGCCACCCAGCCCCCATCCCTGTCTGCCCAGCATAGCCATCGCATGGGGAAGGACAAACCCTTTCTCTGCCTGTGGATTACACTCACTCAGGCCTGCTTTTGAGAATGCCCTGCCATGATGCTAAGGCTCCTTCAAGATGGAACAAGGTCATAGACCTATGCCCTGAGAAGTGTGTCCACTGGAACACACGAGGACCCACAGAGCAACCTACCCTCAGGCACACCTTAAATATACCCAGAAATTAAAAAGTAACTTTCCAGCCCCAAGCTAGGAATGAGCACATGAGAGAAAGAGGGCAAGACATTGGATGCGTCAGGCTCTCCTGGTGGTCTATCTTGTACTCCTTCCTTAGCTCCATCCTGGGGATAGGTGATCTTAAGGGAATCTCGGGCTGAGAATTTAGGAATGCCTTTCTGCTAATCTGACCCTGGAATTCTGGGAACAAGAGAGCTCAGAAGAATCATTTTATCTGCTCTACTGGCTCTAGAGCTTAGAGCTATGCTAATATGATAGACCTAAGCCACGTGTAGCTATTTATTTTACTTTTATTTTTGTAGTGCTGGGGATCAAACCTAGGGCCTCACACAGACTAAACACAAACTATCACTCAGTTACCTCATTAGCCCATACGTAGCTATTTAAAACTAACATTAAAAATTTAGTTCTGAATCACACAAAAACCAATGTCTAATAGAATAGCCACTAGCCACATGTAGCTACCATACCAAATAGTGCATATTACAGAACATTTTCATCACTTCAGAATGTTCTAGAAAGTGCTAGTCTGGAGCCTTTCTCAAGGATTCTGCATCTGAAGCCCAGAACAGGAGCAATTTGAAAGACCTCTGCCCATCAAGCCCTTGCCACCTATTCCTAAGGGACAGTAAGTGGATAACCCAGACATCACCTGCAGTACAACATAATCCCCTCTGCCTCAGCCCTACTAAGTAGCTCCCACTGCTAGGGAAGTCACTTCCTTTCCTGAGCAGTAACAGGAGTAGAGCTTTGGCTTCCCTGGGGAAGAACATCGTGGCAAGCCTAGAATAGAACGTGTTTCTCCCTGGATAGTCTATAGTGTAGCTGAATTGGCTTTTAAGCAGACTGATTATGTCGGGTTCTCCTAATGGACTGAAGGCTTCTCAAGAGGGGATCAGTTTTTGTCTTTTCTTTCTATTATAACTGCCTAAGCCTAGATGTTTCCCTTGGAATGACCTACAGGTCTCCCCTACGGGTGAAAGGAAAAACTGAGACTTTGGATGGCAGGTACCAGCATACCCTATCTAGCCGGCTCTCATCCATCGATTTTGAGTACTCCTTGAGCTTGTACTCTTCCCGCTCAATGTGGGCACTCTCGATGTCAGCCGACAGGTGAGGCATATTGGAGACCCAGGCCACAGTCCGCTCAGAGGCTGGCATTGTGGGGTTCAGCGTGGATGGTGTCTGAGAATGCTGGGACAAGGCAAGGTGGGAAAAGGCAGGGCACATTCAGAGGGAGAGAACACAGCCAAAAGACAGGACAGTCCCAGGCCTGTTCCCCTGCTTTAGGGGGTATCCTGGGTCCCCACCCTAACCCCAGGGGCTAGAGAAGCGATTGATCACGTCTCCTCTCTGGAATGAGTGTTATCAGAGCAAACATTTATGTCTGTTCACCATCATCTCCATGGTGCCCCAACAGCACATGTCACACTGCGGCCCCTGAACACACATTGTTTTAATTTATGAAAGGTGATGAGAAAATCAAAACCTTAGGGCACAGACTGCTCCACCTCCACTGTTGCCTTCACCCACCCTGCTTCCTCTTCCCTTCACCTACCTGCTTGGTGATGGAGGGCTTCAGCCCCCCACCCCCTCCGCCACCACTGCCACCGCTGCCCCCAATGCTGCCCTCCTTGCTGAGGCTCTGTTGTCGTGGACGGGCAGGGCCATAACTCGGCTCTGGAGACTGTAAAAGGTTCCCGCTGGACGGCCGGGGTTTCTGGGCAGCACTGACTGTCAACTGCTGAGACTTTCCCCTCTGCAACGGAGGTGGCTGCCCCCCACCACCCCCACCACTGCCCCCACCACTCCCACCTCCGGGCCCTGAGGGGGCTGGCCTCTGGGGACCAATGGTGATCTGGGGAGGGGACAGCATATGCTGAAGGTTGTCCTGGAGTGAGAGCTGCCGTCGGGTGAAGTCAGTGCCAGAGGGTCCAAACTCATCACTGTAGCTGTGGCTATGAAGGATGGAGGCTGCTGGGGGCTTGGGGACCCCTGAAGAGAGGTCCTCGCTCTTGCTATAGCCATGGAATGGGGCAAAGGTGTCCCCTGGGGGCTCTCCACCTCGGTGGTGGTGATGGTGGTGGTGGTGGTGATGGGAAGAGGGTGGGCCATGGCCACCACTCCCTCCATGGCCCGCTGGGGGCCCTGGCCCATCAGCAGCCATGTGGAAGAGAGGGTTCTGGAAGGAGAGGGGGATGCGCAGTTGCTGGGCAGGGACACCGTCCGTGGTGACACCCATCTGGCTGAGGCGCATGCCCGCCGCTGTGATGGACGACCCACTCCCCTGGGAGAGGCGTCCAGCAGGAGCAGGCCGCAGCCCTAAGGCCGCTGTGAGTGAGGCCTGGCTTGAATGCAGCAGGTCCCCGACAGCTGCCAGGTTGGAAACACTACTGCTGTTGAGGCGACCACCGGGCCCATCGCCCTGCAGGTCCAGCATGGACACACTCTTGTTGACACTCAGCATCTTCTGTTCTGGCTCTGTGATGTCCGAGCTGCTTGTGCAGTATGCTGGGGAGGACCGGGCCAGTGGTGGTCGGCTCACGTAGAACAGATCTTTACCCCCACCAGGGGGTGGTGGGGGTGGCTTTTCCTTGGTTGGGGAGGGGAGACGAGCCATGTCCATAGAGCTGTCAAAGGAAAGGGGACAGACACACAAGCAGGGTAAAGCTAGGCTACAGGCAACTGAGCCTCCTGGGGCTGGTATTGACCTTAGGTGAAAATTGGGACCCACAGGGAAGGGCTGAGAGCCAGTGCTGACAGCCCTAAAGAGGTAGGCAGGGAGGATGGGACGGAAAAGGTGGGAAAAGGGAAAGGAAAAGGCCCCTCTGGGAAAGGGTGAGGCCTAGAGGAAGGGAAATGGGGGCAGCAAGAGGAGGGATGAGGGCAGTCTGGGAAAATATGAAGGAGATGAGGTGCACTGAGGAGAGGAGAGGAGGAGGGTGAAGGTCAGGAGGGGGAGAGGGAGCTGACAGGAGAGGAGAGGAGGGCTGGGGAGGGGAGAGCCCCTCACCTGTTGAGGCCTCGAGCCATGAAGGACTGAAGGTCGATGGAGCTGGAGAGAGATGGAAAGAGGAGCGAGCACAGACAGAGAGAAGGAGCAAGGCATGGATGGATGGCAGGAGCAGTGGGAATGGTGAATGGGTATGGCATCACAGAGGGAAAGAGAACAGCAGGGTGATCATCAAATAAGGCCGGGGGCCTGCCCCATCAGAACAAATGCTGAAGTTTTCAGAACAAATGCTGAGGTTCCAGAACAGGATCTGGGGGCTGCTAGGCTTCCAGCTGCTGCTTCTCTAAGTGCGGATCTTGGGGAGGTCTGCGGGGTTCTGGTGGTAGGCCGGAGGGGGGGATCCTTATTTTCTGAGTCATACAGAGATGTTTGATTATTTTGACACCCCATGGCTGAGCCAATGTTCACTGGCTCAACCTCAGCCTGGAGATAAGCACGGGTGGGCAGAGGAACAAAGCAAATACGAGCCTGTAATGGGGATCCCCTTGGCTTACAACTAAGCTGGGAGCTGGAGGAGCCTTGGCACTTCTGGGGCTGTGTTCCTTGTTCCCTCTGGCTTTGAAGGGCTCCCACTGCCTGTACCTATCTCCTTAACATTTTCCCCTGAGAACTTGCTGCTTTATCCCTTCCTTTCAAGCCCTAGAGATGCACACGGGGCCCAGTGAGAATATCCAGAATAGAAGAGATGGCGTTCCTAGGACATAAGGGCAGGGACCCCCTGAGGGCTCACCTGTTGAGGTCCCGCATCATGTAGCCCTGCATCTCAGCTGATGGCCCCCGCAGCACCACGGGCTGCGGCCGGGGCCGCTCACTCTGGCGGCTTGGCTGCCTTTGGATGTTGGGGTTTCTTAGGGCTGTGCTGATGTCGTTGAGAAGCCGGGGTAGTGGGCCCAGCTTCAGAAGGGCTTCCTGGAAGGGCAAGGCTATTATTGGTGGGCTCTAAGAGGGCCTTGGAGGGTGCAGGGGGAGGATGTCTGGGTAGGAGTAGTGGTATGACATCTTAGGGAACAGGCAGGGGAGAAAAATCTGTGCAGGGGAGTAGTTTCTCAGGCCCCAAGTGCCTCTGGCAACATCTAGCAATGGAGCACAGGGAGCACTTGCTGACCTTGCTGAGCTGGGGCAGCACCTCCCAGAGTAGGGCATGCAATGTGGAGAGCTCTCGGCCCAAGTCGATGTAGCCCTCAAAGCTACTGCTGTTGGTCAGCGTGTCCAGGTTGGAGATCTCGTACAGGAACTGCTGCATGGAACCCCACTCCAGCTCCAAAAACTCATTCATGAAACCCAGAAAGTCCTCCTTTGAGGTAAACCTGGCCAAGGGGTCCAGAAGGGAGAGGTCACACTTGTACAGAAGGCCTTACATCTACCCATCTCAGGGTCTCTGGGGACTCAGGAGACCCTTCCTGCCCACCCATGCTCCACCAATGCCTGAAGTTTCCCTCACTTGGAAAAGTTGGCCAAGTTCTGGATGACCTTGGCGATGAGGGTGAGGGTTCGTGAGGTCTGCTCATCTGGGTACTCCTGCATGAGCCCAAAAAGACTGGGCGACATAATGGCTGGGCAGAGGAAGCGCAGGAAGAGCGAGGCGCTGATCAGCCTGTCGGCGATGTCCTCCCTGCCCCGCTCTGCGCAGCGCAGCCGCCAAGATGCAAACACCTCCTTCAGCTCCCTCGGGAACACGCTGGGGGGAAGGGGTGGGGAGACAGAGAGAGAGAGAAAGAAAGAGAGAGACCGGGACTGAGCCCCAGAGACCCTCAGCTTCCAGGGAACATGCTGAGGGGGGTGGTAGGAGGTGAGGGTGTGGAAACAGAGGGAAGAGAGACAGGGAAGGAGGGACTGCAGGAGGAAGACAGGAGGCTGCTGGAAGAAGAGGGCCACGGTAGAGGGAACAGACAGATTTGGGAGAGAGAAATGGAAGGGGAGAGAAGGCGAGGGCAGAGAGACACATGGGAGAGAGATGGAGGGATGTGTGAGAGAGACAAGGAGAGGAGGAGAAGAAAAACAGACACCAGGGAGAGACAGAGATGGGAGAGAGATGGAGGGTCACTTGAGGTACAGGGAGCTCGGACCCCCCAACTCTTCTGGATTCCAGGGAAATGGGGATGGACGTGCCCCAAGCATGATCCCCAGTCCCTGGAATGGCTCAGAGCTCACTCTCCCCACCTCCCAGTTCCATTTCAATGTCCTACTGACACCTTAAACTTGACTAGTGTAAAACGGAGCTCACCATCGCCCCCACACCTCAACTGACTCCTCCTCCTGACTTTCCTGGTTCTGTCAATGAGGCCACCAGTCTCCCAGCTACAGCCTCATGGCCTCTTGAGTCATCCTTGACTCCCCACAGACAGGCCCCCTCCTTTGCAATCAGTTAACAACTCTTGCTGATCTTTCCCTCACAGGGCCCTTAACAGTGGCCTCTTGCTAAGTTTCCTATCACTGTCCTGATTTAAGATCTGATTTTCATTCCTAACCCATTAACAGCGGTCCCCAATAGCCTGAACTTCATTCTCCCTACTCTGGTCAACCCCCACACTCCACTCGACTTATGGATTCATCTTCTCAATCATGAAAATTCCTGTTGCCTACACCTTTAATGGCATCCTATGATCTACTGATGAACTCAAACTCCTTAACTTGAGGCCTTCTAGATTCCAACTCTAATCCCACATCCACATATTTTTTCCTACTATTTCCATTATTAAACCTGTTCTAGTTACTGTCCCTCGAAAGCTCCTGAGCCTTCTTACCTTCCCACACATGCCTGTCCCACAGCCTTCTGAAATGTCTCTTTCCCACCATGTGCAAACATCAGCACCTAACCCAATCTTCAAAGCCCAGCACCAGGCAGTTCTTTTTGCTTATCTCAATCAAAGCTCTACCTTCTCTGTCCTGATGTTACATGGGGGGTGTGGGTGGGGCTCTTACTCAGCACTTCACAAGTACTACAATGGTTCTGTGGTTTTCTGTGCATCTCATTTGATTTCTACTCATTCTGGTAGAGGCCCTCTGAGGGCAGGGACCAGGCACATTCACCTCTGTTCTACAGCACCCAGAATGCTTTGCCCATAACTTGTGCTCAGTCCTCTTTGAGGATGGACAGATGGATGAACAGATGAACACACAACTGCCCCAACCCTGGCCCCCCAGCCCAGCGTTCCCAGTCTCACCAATGGGAGTTGACCACCTTGCACAGGGCCAACTCACAGCACATCCGCAGGTTGGCCTGGTGCTCTGCCAGACTGGATGCCGTGCACTTGATGGGGTCTACCTCACAGTTCTCCTCAGATTCATACAGAGCACGAATGAACTCCCCTGAGGAATAGGGGCACAAGAGAAAGTTGTCATTCTTTCCAAGGGCGGGGGCAGGGAGCTGCCTGGGTTGGAGGAATCTCAGAACCAGGTGGTTGGAGGCTGGGGTCCTAGGCTCTGGACTTGAGATCTGGGGTAGCCAGGTTTAGGGCTGGGGTAGGCATCTGGCAGATTTGGGAAGAGGGCCTGAAGGTGAACCATACCAATGGCATCCTTGAGGTATTTCTGACCAATCAATCTCATATACTCTTCTATGGCTTTAGTGGCGAGCGTGTTCTCGCGGAATATGAGGTGCTCCCGTTCCATGAACCGGTCTACCTCTGACATGGCCATGTCTGAAAGGAAGTCCTGGGACCCAAGAAAATTCAAGGATCAGCCTCTGCACAACCCAATTTTGCAAGTGTGCCCTGTCCTCTCTGCCCTCCACGTCAGTGCCCATTCCCAAGCCAATTTTCCCTGAGGGCACGGCACTTACCTTGGCCTTTCCTGTACTCTGCAAGATGTGAACCAGTGCGCTGGCAACCTCTTCCTTGCCCTTGACATTCAAGGCAGGTTCCAATACTGCACACAGCATCCGATAATGGTTGGTGACATATTCTGCAAACTCTTTGTACAGCTCCATGGGCAAGATACTCATTGTCTGATAACGTGCCTTCAGCCGCACAGCCGGGCAACCTCCTTTGCCCTTGCCCCCTGAGCCACCCCCCGAGCCTCCTCCCCCTCCCGAACCCATGCCCCCAGACCCTCCACTGCCTGTTGGCAGGGTCACAGGGTACCACTGCTCTGTGAAGTGGCGCCCAGCCAGGGTGGCCACGGGCACAGTCACCAGGCCTACATAGCCTGCCTTGTCCTTCTTGCGCTTTTTGTCTGAGTCACGGTACAGATGCAGCCGCAGGGCGCGGACAGCCGGCAGGTTGTTAAACTCGAAGTGCTCGCCCCAGAAGACGGTGTCCCCAGAGGCTGAGCGGGGCTTGGACGTGGTGCGTGCATACAGCATGTCATCTAGGCAGAGCTCGCAGTAGTACCGCTTCTTAGGGGGCAGTTCCCGTGCCTCTATGATCCACAGCTTCAGCACATTATCCACCCGGCGGCTGTTGTCCTGGTGTGGGGGTGGTGGGTAGGGAGATAAAAGGGAGGGGACAGTGAGATGGAGACACCAAAAGAGGAGACAATGAGAAAGTGGGATCCAGACAACAATTGTACAGCTGAGAAGCTGTACTGGATTGAAGAGAGTCTCTCCCACATTCACCGTCTATCTAGATCTTGTGAATATGATCCTATTTGGAAATATGGTCCTTACAGATATAGTCAAATTAAGGAAATACTGGATAGGGTGGACCCTTAAAACAATAACTGGTGTTTCTATTACAAGGAGAGATTTGGAGACATGAGACATGCAGAAGGAGCTCGCCATGTGAAGGTGAAGACAAAAGCTAGATGGATGCAGCTAGAAACCATGGCCTGCCAGCAACCTCCAAGGAGCTATGAGGAAGCAAGAAAGGACTGTTCTTTGTGCTTCAGAGGAAATGTGGCCCTGCTAATTTTTATTTTGGACTTCTGACCTCCTGAATTGTCAAAGAATACATTTCTGTTGCTCTAAGTGACCCAGTTTGTGGTAATCCCCCTCTGTCCCCGTACATCCTACCACTGAACTATATCCCCAGTTCTTCCATATTTTTTATTTTGAGATAAGGTCTCACTAAGTTCCCCAGACTGGCCTTGAACTTGCAGTCCTCCTGCTTCAGCCTCCAGAGTTACTAGGATTACAGGCATATGCTACCACACCAGGCTTAGTTTGTGGTAATTTTTTACAGCAGCTTAAGAAACTAACATAGAAGGGTAGTTCTTTAGACGCTAATCAGTACTGGGGAAAAAAAGTTAGAATAATAAAACAAAAATATTAAGACAGATTCTGAAGAGGAAAATGGAAAAGTTCTATATAGATCATCAGAAACTGAAAAAAATAAGTTAGTTGCATAAATACAGGATGAGTGAGGCTTGATAGCTGGTGTGAGAATGTCCTGGGAATATAACTGAGCACAAGCTCACAGTGAGGTTTAGGTGACATTTTTCAACACTAATCAGCACTAATGTGCTGAAAAAAAGCAAAATGTTTGGACTTTGCATGGGTCAGAATTTTTTTTAGGGGCTGGGGATGTGGCTCAAGCGGTGGCACGCTCGCCTGGCGTGCATGCAGCCCGGGTTCGATCCTCAGCACCACATACAAACAAAGATGTAGTGTCCACCAATAACTAAAAAATAAATATTGAAAATTCTCTCTCTCTCTCTCACTCTCACTCTCTCTTTAGAAAAAAATTTTTTTTAATATTTTTTAGTTTTTGATGGACCTTTATTTTATTTATTTGTATATGGTGCTGAGAATTGAACCCAGTGTGTCATACATGCACTACCAATGAGCCACAACCTCAGCTCCGGGTCAGAATTCTTAAGAAGGACAGTGAGAAACAAGTTTCCCCAGATGAGAGTGACCAGAACTGTGATCTTGCTAGAAAGTGGGATACACAGCCTAGATGACAGAACTGGGAGCACTTCTCCTGGGAAGTAGAAGTTTTGGGAAAAACACAGACTTGTAGAACCTCTGCTCCAGAAGGACCCTAGTCCACTCCATTCTCACTAATTTCATAGAAGCACAGAGATCTGGCTAATTGAATTTTGTATGTTCTGCAAAAATGCTGTAAGTAGGGGCTGAGTGGCCACCTGTTGGGATGTCAGTGAGGCATTCCTGCCTGACAGGAAGCTGCACTAGAGGACTTCTAGTGTCCCATCAACTCTCTTATAAGTCTATGATTTCTATAGTAGGGATATAGATCACAAAGTAGGGTAACAGTATGAAAAAAAAAAAAAGGGAAAAGGGGGTTAAGAATAATGGGGGTGGACACCCCCACTCATTCAGGGCCCCTATAAGGTTGTCTCTTCCTCCCCCAAGCCTCCCACTCCTTTACTCACTAGGCCCCCTGTGGCTCATTCTTTGCCCCAGACATGCCATGCAGGTCCCCTTTACTCCCCAATACCTTGTTGGGTTTTACTGCCCGCTGGAGATTCTCGATCCATTTGTCCCGTTCGGCTGCGGACCGACAGGCAAAACATTTTGTTCCTGATGATGTTGTTACCTAGAAAGGGTGTGGAGTTGAGAATGGGACTCCAGAGGGAGCTTACTCCTAAGAACTGAAGATTCCCCACTACTTCTTCCTCCCTGGCCTATCCTAGCCCCAAGAGGTTTCTGACATCCTCTTGACATCAACCCCTGTGCCAATTCCTCTAGGACTTTCTGTCTCTACCTTCCAGCATCCCTGCCCTTTGGTCCTAAGCCCACTAGACCCAATACCTCAAAACAGAACTCCTGGCCCAGGATGGAGCTGTGCACTGGCTTGATAATGGAATCTTCATCCAAGTTGAGCTCCAAGGCCTCAGCTGCACTGCTAGGACTCAGCAAGGACTCATGGGAGTGAGACTCCTTAAAGCTTTGCATCAGCCGGGCCCTGGCAGGCAGAAGGTTCAAAAGAGTGAGTCAGGACCCCAAACTCTTCTTAAAGACTCAGGGGTCCTGACTCATCAGTGTGATTTTAGAGTGGAGACTTGGTGAAAAGGCCTCCTGAACTACTCTGCACATAGACACAAATTCACAGAATGAAACCCAGCCTCCCCTCAGGAAGGACATGAAGGATATGAGAGAAACCAGGCATTCTATTCACATCTAAGGGGCTGTGAGGAATGGGAACACCTAGAAATACCTAAATGCAGGAATGGACCTGGCAGAAGAAAGAGAAAAAAACCAAGGTGGGCCCAGGGCCCCTTGGAGGAAGGACCTCTAGGTGACCCTAGAAACCAAAGTCTCAACATAAGGGCAAAGCTGGGAGTCAAACAGAAGATCACAACATAAGAACTGGAGAATCACACAGAAGATCCTTGTCTGGCCTGGACCTGGCACACAGCTAGTTAGTGCCCAATAACATTTCATGATTCAAAGTATGAATGAATGAATAAGAGACAAAGTTACAGTAGAATCAGGGGAAAGAGTGAAGAAGAGTGTAAGAAATAAGAGAAAGGAGCAGAATGAAGGTTAGACAATGGAGATGGGAGTGAGGGGAAGGAGGCAAGGCAAGAAGTAGAAAGCAGGAGGAAAAGCTTGTGCAGAAAGAGGATGCGAGAGGCTGAGAAGGGGCAGCTAGAAGGACGCAGGAAAAGCGATGGATGCTGAAAGGCAAAAATCACTGTGGGAAAGAAAAAGAAAAAGGAGGCTAGGGGCACGGAATGAAGAGGGACAGGATGGTGAGCAGCATGGAGATGGGTAGGGGATAAAGAGTAGAGAGCAGTAGGGAAGCAGGAGGGGGAGCTCGGGTGTGGGAGCCTCCATGAAGTTATTTATAGCAGCCCCGTCATCACAGGCTCTGGCTGCCGTCAGCGCGCCACGCTCCCCCGGCCCCCCGCCCCCGCGGCCAGGAATACCATGCCCTCACCCCCTGCCGGCCCCAAATCCAGCTCTGGTGACATGGGAAGGGGGCAGGGAAAGGTTTGACTCACCTTATCCCAACCTCCCTACCTGCCCAATTCCGGGGGTGGCCAGACAGAGGGGAAAGGAAGGACAGGGTTCTGCAGGGATGACTGGGTAAAAGGGATACCCAGAGAGGGACCCCAAGAAGCAAACAACAGAGACAACCACCAAAAGGTCTCCTTCAGTCCTGCCTCAGGACAGTGCCCTCTGGACTTCTCTGAGGGCTTCTTCTTCATGGTTCAGTCCATGGATTAACCCTGCAGCCCCTGATCCCCATTATGTCATCCTGCACACTGGTGCCGGTCTTGCCTTTTTCTGTAATACTCTACACTGTTCCTTCCCTCAGATGAGCTCCACCTTGTACCGGTTAACAACAGTCACCCCAAGCACTACTCCAACCTGCTGCTCCTGCCCCTCCTGCCGCCCTTCCCTCAGGCAGTTCCACCTAGCTCTCACTGCTGCCCCTCCACCATCCAGTGAGCCCACTTCCTAGGATTCAGAGTTCCTTATGGGCAGGCTGTGTGGCTCTTCTCTGTCCTTCTGTACAGCTCCTCTGATCCTGGGCTGAGCCCACCCTCCGTCAGGCTAAAGATGCCCTCCTTGGCATTACCTTCGCCTCCTTGCCTGCCTGTCCTCTCCCTATGTCCCACCCTTCTCCTGCCGCCTGCAGTCATGTCCTAGCTCTTCTCTGTTTTCTCCTTGCACCATAACACCCCTCAATCAACACGAGCCCTTCAACCTTTGCCCTCAGATAACCCCCTCCCTTCCCATACCGCTAGAGGTCCCCTATATTGCACATATCTCAACCCGCAAGCTCCCTCCCCTGTACCGGTCATGGTCAGCACTTCGGAAGCGAGGCAGGATCTGGCGAAAGCTGCTGGTCCGGTCAAGTTTGGGCTGTGACTTCGTACGCTTGATGGAGCTTTTAAGTCTCCGGCTCAGGAAGCCTTGCTGGGGGGAGGAAATGGGGATAGGGGTGGGTTGGAGCAGGGTCAGTCCTACCTACTTACCCCTCAGCTGGTATAGAGTCCCTAAAATAAGGTGGGATAGGAGAAAAGTCCCTAGAGGTGGGAAAGGGAACAGGAGCCCTGATACCAGCTTGTCTTCCTTGCTCCCTTGGGCACAGTGAAGGAAATACACACACACACACACACACACACACACACACACACACTAGCTTGGAATCTGCACATAGACACACACACACACACACACACACACACACACACACACACTAGCTTGGAATAGGTGGGAGGGCTAGTCCAAGAAGCAGGGGGCAGAGCCAAGAAGAGGGAGACCAAAGAGGTGGGGACACACATACACACAAAATCTTTCTTCCTCCAGTCCCCTTTCTCAGAATCCTAGGGCTCCAGTTGGGGCTGGAGGGGAGGGACCCAGCTGAGCCACATCTGGCAAGCGCTGGCTTCCATTCACTCACCGAGGGCCGGAAGGGCGCAGCGGGGGCGGCCTCCATGCTGTACTGCTTCCCCCCTGGGACACTCTTCCTCCTCGAGCGACCCAAGTGGTATTCTGGAGGAGAGGAAAGGGCCCCAAGGGAAGTTGGGGAAGGGGCTTGTTAACCCGGGTTTCCACCCCTGACCCCACTGCATTCTCCCACCTCCCTCTGCCCCTCAGCTCCGGCCTCACCTACCCCCCGGAAAACAGCAGGAAGAGCAGCGGCGGCGGAGAGGCTGGCGGTGGGAAGGAGGGGGCAAGGAACCCGAGCCAGAGCCCCCAGAGGGGGACGGAGTGGGAGGCCTTAAGCCCATGACTAGTGTTGGCAGTCAGCAGGGGCGCATGGCCAAGGGGGTCAGTAAAACCCCAGTAATGAAGGGCATAGAAGATCCAGGGAGGCTAGGTCCCGGTGCCCACCCCCCCCCCAGAAGGGGCTAGCTGGGGGGGAAAGATGGGTTAAAGGTCATTGCCCATAGGCTGGCTTTCCCCTCCTCTCTGGGGACATCTTCTACTTGCCCTGCACCTCCCAGACCCCTGTTTGTCTGGAGGGCCAGGGCTGCCTCCCATGACCCCCTCCCTGGATGGAGGGGGAAGTCTTAGAAGGGACCTGTGAGGAGTGGCTGGGGGAGAAGCTGGAGAGAGAAAATCTAAGAGGCAGATGGGGGGGTGGGGAGAAGGAGCCGGTTCCACGTGCACTGCAGTGGCAGGGACTTAGAAGGGAAGGGGGAAGAAGAAAAGAAAAGAATGCAGGGGAGTGGGCAGGGAGTGGGGAGGATTGGGGGGTGCTGGGGACTCCCAACTAAGGTTTAGGAGAAGAGGAGGAGGGGAGGTGAATGCGGATGAAGCTCAGCCTGCCAAGAGCCTAGAGGGATGGCAGATCCAAAGAGGGAAGCTGAGGCTCTGCTGCCAGGGAATTTAGAGGGGCCAAGGGGCTGGAGGAGAATGAAAGTGGGGGGGATGCCAAGCTCCGGCTTCAGCTCCAGAATGGCTGCCCAGGCCTGGGCTCCCCCCTCAGCCCCACAGTCACCACTGCAGCCAATGGGGGGGCAGGTGCTGCATCAGGGGCGGGGCCACCATCTCCACGGCAACACGAAGCTACAGGCTGGAGGGGAGGTGGACCGGAAGAGCTGCCTGTTAACCCTCAAGGTTCCGGAACAAAACAAGAGAGGGCCATACTACATTTCCACTGTCTGCTTCCAGAAGTGCAAATTGCCCCCAAGTTGCCCTAGAATCAGTCCCTAGCTTCCCTTTACCTGTAAAACCCAAGCATTAGAGGTTTGCACACAAAATCTGGATCCCATCATACAAGGACCCTATCAGTCCCTCACGTGTAGAACACAGAAACATACACTGAGCTGTGGGGGTATGTGTATATCAGAACCACAATACAAAAATAAATAAGAATCTATGTGCTTATGAGACATACAGACAGCTGTGAGCACAGGTCCATATTCTCAGACTTTGAGGCTCACACACCCTACACGCTTACACATGTGTGAACATTGCAACAGTGGTGTACATACTAGAACCAAAACACCCACATGTGAGCCACTAATGTGGGTTTTGTGGCCTGAGTCTTCTGGGCAATCATGCAAGCGCACATTACAGAAATGGACATGTAACCTGAAGACATCCATGTGTCCCCCACATAGGAGAATACCAGTTTAACCCCGGGACACATACTTGAATACACTATATTCCATCCTTGTACAATACATACACTATGATCCCAACCACATAAAGGTTTCCCTCATATTCCCAAAAGACAAAATCCTTCATTCACATAAAAAGCGCAATCACATCCACTCTGTCTCAGGACAACCTCCTTCTCTTTCCCCAGCTCTTCCCTGCCTTCAACACCGGCATCCATGATTGCTACCAAGGAGCAAATGCATTATCTTTCTGTTATACACTACACAGTGCATCCCAGGGCCAAATATCTTCCTCCTAGTCACATTTCTCTGCTTTTCAAGGTAGAGCTGCCCCATTTTCATTTCAGGGAACCTAGCTCAGCCATTATTTTTACATACGAGCTCCTCTAATAAAGGCATAAAGTCTAACTTTGAATCCACTAAAATTCTGCTTTGGAACTAAAGCATTACCAGAAGAAAAAAGAATTTGGTACCTGGTTTGCTTGATTCTTGGAGATAATATAACCTTATACATATCACCAGGAGCTAAAACCTATGAACTCACACTTAAGTCACAGGTACATGAAGGCCACATAGACACATGCTTACAAACACTCTCATTACTGCAAAGAAAAGAATAAGAGAAACACAGAGGAAAGGCAGGCATAGTGACAGAAACACAGGACATCCTGTTATTAGTGCTGTATGCAGCAACATGTACAGAGAACACAGAACACAGTCTTATATATTCACAGAGCAAACCTGAAAAGCATACATTGAGTTGCTGGGTCTCCACATTCCATCCCCTGCAAGATGTATACACGCATGCACACACATCACAGCCACCTACACAGAACCGTAACACAGGCATTGTGCACACACCCACACATGTACACACCCTGTATACACACAACTGCACACACACAGAACAAGGACTTAGATTCCTGCTTCTCCAATGTCTCTAATCTTGCCACCACCCACAGAATTTGTCCCTGCCCTCCAATCCCCCAAAACCCTAACTTTCCCTTTGGCCTTTTTCTCCACACTCAGCTGGCAGCTTTCAAGGGGAGCCTGGGCAGAAACGTTGCCACAGAAGGATGAGAAACAGTGTTGGATAGAGAGTAGAGAAATAGAGGACAGTGCTCTGCACTGGGAACATGAACCTCTAAAAACAGTCCCTGCCATGACAGGCCTCTCTGTGAGCCACCCTCTATACTTATGTGGCCTCACCTGATCCAACCAAATCTGATCCTACAGGGCCTGCCTGAATCCAGTGCCCTCTCCAATCTCCCCTCCCTTCTTTCACAGATTACTTTATCAAAAGGCCTCTCTCCTCTCCCTGCTCCCCATCTCTGAGGTCCCTTCTCCCACCATCTCCATCCAGTTCCCCATCTTAAGCCTACCACTCTTCCCTTTTTGAAGTCTGGCGAGTTCTCTTCCATGTTCCCATTCTCCAGCTCTCTTTTCTCCCTAGCATACTCTCCCCTCTCTAGAAACCTTTCTCATTGCTCCTCTCCCTTTTTCTCCCCACTTTTCCTCTTTATCTCACTCCTTCCCTTTTGAGCCTTTCTATTCCCACTCCGGACCAGGCAGGGGCTCACACTTGCCTAGTCCAAAGGTGTTTCATACACAGTAGGATTCCAAGGAGCACACACACACTTTCTCCCCTCACCACTCACACATCACCCACATCCAGACACGCCCTGGACACCAGTGCTGGGAATGACACAGATACTCAGGCCAAAGCTAGAACACACATGCAAAGACATACACTTGCCACCAGGGACACAGAAAATTCTGTTCATGCATCCAGTCACACATTCCTACACACAGGAGACTGATGAGAAGTGAGCCCCAACCATAGACATTCAAGCTCAGGGTCAGGGGTGACATGAATCAGTATGGCCATGGATTGCCCCACTAAGATAGTGGCTGGCCCAACAGACCCCTAGGCAGGAAGAGGCAGCATAAGACAGGACACGCTTTGCACATGGCTGGCTGCACATGTGTGCACGAGGAACTGGGCCCCTTGTGCACATGGCACCGACACACAGGGGACATGAGCAAAGACATGAACACACACGCAAACCCACAGGCTGCCCCTCTAACAGGGGCTTCAAGACCCCCCTGACCAGCCGCCCCCGCGAGCTTGTAACCCTGTCCCCAAGAGGCAGTCCCGACCACCCGACCTCCACTGCACCCCCCTTCCAGTTACCATAACTCCCCCCACTCGGAAGATGCAGCGAGAACATGCGGAGGGAGCA